GAAATGGACGGACAGGCGGACTGAAGGACATGGCTAGATCGACTCGTCTAGTGATGCTGATCAAGAATATATATACTTTATGGAGTCGGAAACTTCTCGCTCACTGCGTTGCAAGCTTCTGACTGAAATCATAATACCCGCGCAAGGTTATTATAAATGCAAGATAATAATAATTATTTCATTATTTCTCTGACCGTTTCTTTGACAGCTATATGTTAGAGTCGTCCGATTTGTATTAAATTTAATTCGAAATTCTTACAAATACAAAAAAATTCTGTTCCCAATAGTATAGGGTACTATGTCAAGAAACACCTAAGCTATGACTTCTTTCATATTATTTTCTACGAATTTTTCGATCGTTCCTATGGCAGCTATATGATATAGTTGTCCGATTTGGATAAAATAAAATTCGAAATTCAGAACTAATTAAAAAATGTTATTTCCAAGCGTAGGTTGTAATATGTTAAAAAACACCGAGGCTATAATTTGTTTCATATTATTTTGCCACCAATTTTTCGATCGCTCCTGTGGCAGCTATATGATATAGTCGTCCGATTTTGATAAAATTATATTCGAAATTCAGAACTAATTAAAAAATGTTATTTCCAAGCGTAGGAGGTTATATGTTAAAAAACACCAAAGATATAAGAAAAAAAATTTTTTTTGCGATTATTCCTATGGGAGCTATAAGATATAGTTACCCGATCAGCCTAGATCCGACTTAGACCGATAGCTTTAAAACTGATACAGACGGATCGATTCGTCTAGTGATGCTGATCAAGACTATATATACTTTATGGGGTCGGAGACCTCTCCTTCACTGCGTTGCAAGCTTCTGACTGAAATCATAATACCCTCTGCAAGGGTATAAAAATAATATAAATAAAAATGCAAAGGTATAATAATTATTTCATTATTTCTCTGACCGTTCCGTTGATGAGTTTGCGTAGAAACGGACGAACAGACGGACAGGCGGACAGACGGACATGGCTAGATCGACTGGTCTAGTGATGCTGATATATAAGTTAACTAACTCAGCCGGGCGATCGGTTAATGCCGTCAAAAGTCCGCTCCGGCCAAACTGCTGACACAGCGTCTGGCCAGAAGCTCATGCATAGCCGGCAAGAACTGCCCATTGGAGTGGCCACTATGAAGTTCAATTATGTTAGCTTTAAGATTCAGTTCATTTTCAACATTCAAAGAATAAAGAACACAATTTCATTCTCAAATAAATGCGGCAACCGCCGTATAACTTCTTATTACTTAAACACTAACTGAGTTTCTAGGCCAGCAGCGAACGGAGGGCAGTTACCCTTACAGCGTAATCATCATAACTCTTCAGTAGATGAGAAGCTAATCAACCGACTACCGGCAGCTAGAGATCACATCAATTTTGACCATCGGCCAACCGGCTTCTGATTGAGGACTGCAGCGAGGGACTCTTCTGCAGCTACCCCCATACTAAACCTAATTGGCGCCTACCGTAAATTACCCATTGATATAAAATTGGGAAACCATGAAAGTGAGCCCCTCATACGTATATTTTCCCGGCATCTGCATTTATTAAATATTTAAATACATACACTGCCAGAATATTTTCTCCAGCTCCGTATTAAAGTTGCGTGTGAACATTTTTCTTAATTAACATACCCGTTAATTATTTGACAATTTAATTGGTATTATCCCATGTGATATTGTAAATGTTTATCGTTGTATGTTGTTTGCATTATTTAAATTTTTTAAATAAATATCTTAGTGCCAAAAATTATTGCCCATATATCAACCAGACTTATTAAATATCCCAGAATAGGCGCAACGGCGCTGCTGGAAAATAAATTAATTTTGCATTTATTGAATTATTTTTTTGGTGACTGTCACTGTCTCATTTAAATTATGTGCGTTTAACTCACCCTTTATATGTAGTTGTTTTTTTTGCTTGCACCGAAATTCTTTGTGTTAGCTTCGCAACAATCTTGGGTTTGTCTTTTTATCGCTCCCCACTCCACTACAACACTCGAACTCGACACCCCGACGATTGTATTCCAATTTTGTTAGCTCCGCTTTTTTGTCCATCAGAGCGGCAGCTTAGCCACCACGGTCCCTCGACTGTGGCAATTTTTTGTTCGTTCGTTACCAAGCGGCGACTCAGCCCCCGCAGCCCCCTCGCCAAATCCATGGTCAAGATTGCTTGAACATACATTAATTCGCTATTGCGATTTAGCTTACACAGCTCCATATGAGCGACCCGTTCCAGCAATATAGGAGTAACAAACAGTTCGACAGCGACTCTGAGTCCGAGACCGAAGGACCGACCAGAGCTTCTAAACCGAAAAGTGTAAGCGCTAGCACATCCGCAACCATAAATATGGCATTGAACCCAGACCAAATAAAGGCGGTCGTACCGACTGCCGTTAACCATGCCCTACAGGAAGCGGCCGCAGACGGTCAGCGTAGGGAAGATCAATTACGTCAGACTATTCAGGAACTGGCCAGCCAAGTGGTGGCGATACAAATCGCGCCCGCCAAAACAGTAGCCCCTCAGATTAAAGTTTATGCACCTATAGATATAAACAGGGACATATTTTGTAATGAGCCGCTAGACGCTGTCAAGTGCCTGCCCGAAATTGCGGGAACCCAGGAGACATACGTCTCCTGGCGGCAATCAGCAATAGCCGCGTATTACATATTTAAGAACTTCGAGGGTAGTTTACGCCATTATCAGGCGGTTATTATTATTAGGAGTAAGATTAGAGGCCCTGCCGATGCCGTACTATCTTCATTTGGCACCGTGTTGAACTTCGATGCGATTATAAGTCGACTCGATTTCACATACAGTGACAAGCAAACAATGCACGTCATAGAGCAGGAGATGGGTACCCTCAGGACGAGGTGGAAAGGAAGCTTACCCTCCTCACTAATAAGGCAACTATGTCATATGAAGCCTAGGCGGCACAAGTTTTATGCGAAAAATTCCTGGATGATGCCCTCCGCGTATTTATATCTGGACTAAAACGCAGTCTCACCGACGTCCTCTTCTCGGCAAAGCCGAAGGACATGCCATCAGCACTTGCATTGGCTCAAGAAGTGGAGTCCAACCATGAAAGGTACACCTTTGCATCATCTTTTGCAAGAAGCCAGGAGGATAGGGACAAAAAACTATTTCCGAAGGCGCAAGAGCGCCAACAGGCCAATCCTCATGCTAGTCCGCAACCAGGTACTAGTTAAAATCCGTACTTCAATAAACAGCACAAAGCTCAAGTTCAAGTTCGGTTGGTATACCACTCGAGATTCTGCTGTTATATATAATAGTCCCCTTCTCATACTCTCCGGGTTCTCGTTCGCCACTACGTGGACTGCCATCCACAGTGACATCACTTATTTTATCGAAATGTTGCTCTATGTGGATTCTATTTCCATTATTTCGCACTACCTTCCTTTTCCCCAAAATCTTTCAAAATAATTTCACTTAGTCTGTCCCTGTTAGCCTGTTTTTATCTATATCATCAAAGTCGCCGATATTTTTTGTACAATAAAAGCAAAGAGTAAGGGATGCGGTTTTTTCGGCATTCGTTTTGATAAGGCTTATTATTATTATCAGGGTATTCACCAAACTGTTGAATTGCTGAATTGTTGAAAATTCAACAGAAAATTTCAGCAATTAAGGGGACGACCCTAAAAGTTCCCTGATAAATTTTCAATTATAAGATGTCTGCTGTTTGTCTGATTGTCAAATTGCCAGGCTGTGCTTACCAAAGATTATGTTTAAAATTAAGGAAAATGCCGAAAATAAGCCAAAAACCTAACCTATTAGAACTGCTAACAGGCAGCATCCTATTAGATATCCTTTACTTGCATATTTTATACGATTGCAATTTTTCCATGTTTACAAGTGACCAGAGTTACCCTCTAAATTTTAGTCTAGAACAGCGACAACTCTGGTTTTCAGCAATTAAACAAAATGTTCAACAGCCCCGAGGCTGTTGAATTGCTAAAATTTTTGACAGTTGGCTTTGTATGGAACAGCTGATGAACAGGTGATCAATATTCAATAATTCAGCAATTCAACAGTTTAGGAAATACCCAGTATATATTTTTCCAATCAGTATTCCAAGCCAAACTTTATTTTAGGTACCATTGTATCTTATATATGTGGACCGTTCTTTCACAAACCGAACGTATTTTACGAAAATATTTTTTCACATTTTTGATTTGCATCAATTTTTATTACGTATACTATTCGGTAAAAAGATCAATACGTGTATCAGGACTCGGGTTAAAAGAAATTATTTATAACTTTGTTAGTTTGCTAAAGAACGATTAAATTTAACTACATCTTTACATTTAATTTTATTAACAACATCTGCTTGAAAATCTATATCTGCAGCTGTAGTTATCCCGATTCAGTTTTTTAAAAAGCCTGACTCCACTATAATGCGTTAATTCCAAGGCATTGTTCGGCTCATTCATTAGATCAGTTTTTTCTCAGACTATACGATTTAACGTAAGTGGGAGCAGGACATACATGTAGAAACGAAACATATTAAAAAGTGTATTTATTTAGTCGGATGTACAATCATTTTTCGTCACAAAATTGTGTAACAGAACTTTTGTATGTTGAATGTGCGATCGTCACGAGGCCTTACCTCGTTAAGAGGTGTTTTTGCTTGATACTTTATACGGTTAGAAAAACTTTCTTCCACCTTTCTTCCATATTTTCCAACGATTTTAATCGACCCTTTTAATCTTCAAGTAACGGGTGTTAACGTTAAATTCTTTACAACTGTTCAGGCAAAACTGCTTGCCAGTTCTGGTATTGCTTTGGTATTCCTCTCCTTTTTCCTTTTCGCCAACAAAGCCAGCGCGATCTCCAGCGCCGCAAGCTCATTCACTCGCGAAATCTAGTATTTTTTCTGCTATTTCCTTAGCTTATCTGAGTAAAAAACATGAAAAATTTTAGTTTACAGTGTTAACAAAATTGTTAACATGTGAAAAACATACCCACGTAAAGCGTTAGCTGCCTATTTCCCTCTCGCTCACTCTTATGGTTTGCTTGCGGCTTTCGTCAATGTGAGTACTAGGCTTAAAAAGTACAATTTTCTCATTCATTAGAGCTGCAGTAAAAAAATGGGATCGACTATAAAAACTATGTTTATACCTTTTCTTGATTTTATCAGCTTCTTGCGGTTAATTCAGGGCTGTAGAAAAGTAAAAAACCACAAATTAAAATTAGTTGAAAGGACTTTGAAAAAAATTATTGTGGTAGATAATAAAATTAAAAACATTTACAAGCTTTGTACAGTCTACAAAAAAATTTTAGAGTCGTACAGAACACACTATTTTATTTGACACATTATTTGAACATTAAAGTAATTTGAATCATAAAGTTTAAATTTCCGTTTAAATGCTAAAGTGATCATGACTTCTTATCCAAACAAATTCAAGTAAATGTTAAATATATAAATCTCATTATAAGCCTACAAAGAATGCTCTAATGAATATGCCGAACAGTGCCGTGGAATAACGCATAAGGAAAAGACGGCGTCCAACTGAGCTTCCTTAAACCAGTTTCTTAAGCTAAAGCGTTATGAGGGCGACGTAATGCAATGACACTGTTTTGATATTCCCTTAAAAAATTAACTCAGATCGGTTTAACTAATTGCATGATTATATAAATATTTTTAATATAGCATCAGTATATAAATATAAATAAGTGATATACGTATTTTAATAGCACCATTTTGGTAATAGGTAATTAAACGTAAATGTAAAACGTTGTAACAAACTATAATTCAGTTAAAAGAAAAGATGTTTTGTCCTCTCAGAAACTTTCGAGATACGCCACTACAAAATATTTAAGACATACAAAACACGATTGGTTGACTTAAGTATTCAGTCGAAAATAAGAAATACAAGCTCCGCACATATTTTGTAAAAAGTTGGTTTTCAATTATAAGGAACAAATGAAAGTTTTGTATGAGTTCAAGCTTCGAATTGTGGAATATTGGCCCAAAGCAAGCACTTTTTCATGATTTCTTAAATTATGGAATATTTTAAGCTTATATAAATTGGTATATTTTTATAATCTTTGCTTAGTAATATAAAAAAAAAATG